ACCTAAGCCTAACAGCGCCCTAAGCGGCGCCCTAACCTAAACCTAAGCCTAACAGCGCCCTAAGCGGCGCCCTAACCTAAACCTAAGCCTAACACCGCACTATTACTTCATAACAACGGCGCAATTGCTCGCAATCGACCGCAATAAAGATGATGGCAGCCAATTTCATTCCGGAACTTCAACTTAACAGGGATGCAGTGCAATGCACATACAACGGTCGCAAATTTATTACTCACTTGAAATCGAGAATGCATATGCAGGAGCAAGTGTTATTGGCCTCGCAAGAATCAAAAGCAAGTGTTATATAGCACTTGTTGAAGGTTTGAAATTGTGATTGGTTCTTTTCTTAAGTTTTTTTATTTAACTTCCGACCACTTATGTATATAGACGTTCTATTTTCCCCATTAAGTCTCAATTACTTGAACAGTTGAGGAACAGAAGATGCAAAATAAAGTAGGGGCTCATGAAGGATTCCCCATCAGATTCAAAAAATGATCTTTTCAAAAAATGCCCTAAACCAACCTAACTCACTGCACCCTTCCGTTCCCTGCCAAGTACTCACAAGACAATAACACAGTTTCAACTTTCTCATCAATCGGACTGACCGTACACACGTCTTTATTTAATATTATATCTACCTCGTTTACACAATTCCTTATTTGAAGAGTGTACTAGTATTAGTGATTTAGTTACCCAGGCTCAAATAAAGTAGGAGCTCATGAAGGATTTCGTTTGTTAATATCCTAATTTACCTTTCCTTTAGCAATTAATTTCAATGGAGATTGTGTTCTAAAAATGTTTTTTGTTCTTTGATAATTGGCACCATTTCTTTCTCTTCTTTTCCTTACTTTTGGTATAAACAATATTCACAGTCTATTCTATTTGTCACTGCTTTCTCTCCTCTCACCTTTTTCTCCATTTTGACTTTCACTCTTATACTCTGTTTGGATGAAGATAGGAAAGAAAGAAGTAGGGGTTAAGAGATAGTAAGTACATGTTTTAATTGTTTGGATTGAGAGAAGTAGAAGACATTATATTACTATCAATAATGATATGTTTATATAGTAAAAACAAAGGGTGGATATGTCTATTTCAGTGAGTCCAAATTGTTTTGCTCTGTTTTTCTTGTCAAGTCTCATCCTAAGTAGCACAGAAACGGGAATGCTTTTTTTCACAACAATGTTTTTTTAAACGTATCATCCAAATTGTCTTGAAGAGATCATTTGAGAAGAGATTTTTTAAACGTATCATCCTGACAATGTTTTTTCATTTCGTCCCACTTTTCTAACCAAACAAGGACAAAAAACACATCATTTTCTCTAACTTTCAACTCAGAATCTATCAAAACAAATTTTGTGTTAAACCAAACAATGTTTAAGTGATAAATATACACATAAGATAAATACAGAGACCGTTACATTTTAGACACAAATAACACCATGCTTGATTCAGAATACAATAAAAAATGAAGAGGGGATCAAGATGAATGACTGACCTGCAATAAGCAGGGCTGCATGCCAAGGAGATTAATGAACCCTCAATTTACCAACTGCAGGCACTCCTTCTGGTTTCTCAAAAGCTATAACTATAAATGTGGGGTAGCAGCCACTTCAGAAAATTCCTCAGCTTCAGCATTAATAATAATCAACGCCCTAAGGCCCTAACCTAAACCTAAGCCTAACGCCGCCCTAAGCAGCGCCCTAACCTAAACCTAAGCCTAACAGCGCCCTAAGCAGCGCCCTAAGCGGCGCCCTAACCTAAACCTAAGCCTAACAGCGCCCTAAGCTGCGCCCTAACCTAAACCTAAGCCTAACAGCGCCCTAAGCGGCGCCCTAACCTAAGCCTAAGCCTAACAGCGCACTATTACTTCATAAAATCGGCGCAATTGCTCGCAATCGACCGCAATAAAGATGATGGCAGCCAATTTCATTCCGGAACTATAAATGTGGGGTAGCAGCCACTTCAGAAAATTTCTCAGCTTCAGCATTAATAATAATCAACGCCCTAAGGCCCTAACCTAAACCTAAGCCTAACGCCGCTCTAAGCAGCGCCCTAACCTAAACCTAAGCCTAACAGCGCCCTAAGCAGTGCCCTAAGCGGCGCCCTAACCTAAACCTAAGCCTAACAGCGCCCTAAGCGGCGCCCTAACCTAAACCTAAGCCTAACAGCGCCCTGAGCGGTGCCCTAACCTAAACCTAAGCCTAACAGCGCACTATTACTTCATAAAACCGGCGCAATTGCTCGCAATCGACCGCAATAATGACATTATAATTGGATGGAGAGTATCATTTTAATTGTTTGGATTGAGAGAAGTAGAAGACATTATATTACTCTGTTTTGCTAAATGAAAAATATCATGCTTACAGAGACCGTTACATTTTAGACACAAATAACACCATGCTTAATTGTTTGGATTGAGAGAAGTAGAAGACATTATATTACTCTGTTCATTATATTACAGAGACCGTTACATTTTAGACACAAATAACACCATGCTTCATTCAGAATACAATAAAAAATGAAGAGGGTATCAAGATGAATGACTGACCTGCAATAAGCAGGGCTGCATGCCAAGGAGATTAATGAACCCTCAATTTACCAACTGCAGGCACTCCTTCTGGTTTCTCAAAAGCTATAACCATAAATGTGGGGTAGCAGCCACTTCAGAAAATTCCTCAGCTTCAGCATTAATAATAATCAACGCCCTAAGGCCCTAACCTAAACCTAAGCCTAACGCCGCCCTAAGCAGCGCCCTAACCTAAACCTAAGATTAACAGCGCCCTAAGCAGCGCCCTAACCTAAACCTAAGCCTAACAGCGCCCTAAGCGGCGCCCTAACCTAAACCTAAGCCTAACAGCGCCCTAAGCGGCGCCTAACCTAAACCTAAGCCTAACAGCGCCCTAAGCGGCGCCCTAACCTAAACCTAAGCCTAACAGCGCACTATTACTTCATAACAATGGCGCAATTGCTCGCAATCGACCGCAATAAAGATGATGGCAGCCAATTTCATTCCGGAACTTCAACTTAACAGGGATGCAGTGCAATGCACATACAACGGTCGCAAATTTATTACTCACTTGAAATCGAGAATGCATATGCAGGAGCAAGTGTTATTGGCCTCGCAAGAATCAAAAGCAAGTGTTATTTATATAGCACTTGTTGTAGGTTTGAAATTGTGATTGGTTCTTGTCTTAAGTTTTTTTATTTAACTTCCGACCACTTATGTATGTAGACGTTCTATTTTCCCCATTAAGTCTCAATTACTTGAACAGTTGAGGAACAGAAGATGCAAAATAAAGTAGGGGCTCATGAAGGATTCCCCATCAGATTCAAAAAATGATCTTTTCAAAAAATGCCCTAAACCAACCTAACTCACTGCACCCTTCCGTTCCCTGCCAAGTACTCACAAGACAATAACACAGTTTCAGCTTTCTCATCAATCGGACTGACAGTACACACGTCTTTATTTAATATTATATCTACCTTGTTTACACAATTCCTTATTTGAAGATTGTACTAGTATTAGTGATTTAGTTACCCAGGCTCAAATAAAGTAGGAGCTCATGAAGGATTTCGTTTGTTAATATCCTAATTTACCCTTCCTTTAGCAATTAATTTCAATGGAGATTGTGTTCTAAAAATGTTTTTTGTTCTTTGATAATTGGCACCATTTCTTTCTCTTCTTTTCCTTACTTTTGGTATAAACAATATTCACAGTCTATTCTATTTGTCACTGCTTTCTCTCCTCTCACCTTTTTCTCCATTTTGACTTTCACTCTTATACTCTGTTTGGATGAAGATAGGAAAGAAAGAAGTAGGGGTTAAGAGATAGTAAGTACATGTTTTAATTGTTTGGATTGAGAGAAGTAGAAGACATTATATTACTATCAATAATGACATGTTTATATAGTAAAAACAAAGGGTGGATATGTCTATTTCAGTGAGTCCAAATTGTTTTGCTCTGTTTTTCTTGTCAAGTCTCGTCACAACAATGTTTTTTTAAACGTATCATCCAAATTGTCTTGAAGAGATCATTTGAGAAGATATTTTTTAAACGTATCATCCTGACAATGTTTTTTCATTTCGTCCCACTTTTCTAACCAAACAAGAACAAAAAACACATCATTTTCTCCAACTTTCAACTCAGAATCTATCAAAACAAATTTTGTGTTAAACCAAACAATGTTTAGATGATAAATATACACATAAGATAAATACAGAGTTACATTTTAGACTGACCTGCAATAAGCAGGGCAGCATGCCAAGGAGATTAATGAACCCTCAATTTACCATAAATGTGGGGTAGCAGCCCTCAGAAAATTCCTCAGCCCTAACCTAAACCTAACGCCGCCCTAGCAGCGCCCGAAGCAGCGCCCTAAGCAGCGCCCTAACCTAAACCTAAGCCTAAGAGCGCCCTAACCTAAACACAAGCCTAACAGCGCCCTAACCTAAACCTAACGGCGCCCTAAGCGGCGCCCTAACCTAAACCTAAGCCTAACGGCGCCCTAAGCGGCGCCCTAACCTAAACCTAAGCCTAACGGCGCCCTAAGCGGCGCCCAAACCTAAACCTAAGCCTAACGGCGCCCTAAGCGGCGCCCTAACCTAAACCTAAGCCTAACGGCGCCCTAAGCAGCGCCCTAACCTAAACCTAAGCCTAACGACGCCCTTAGCAGCGCCCTAACCTAAACCTAAGCCTAACGGCGCCCTAAGCGGAGCCCTAACCTAAACCTAAGCCTAACGGCGCCCTAAGCGGAGCCCTAACCTAAACCTAAGCCTAACGGTTCCCTATGCGGCGCCCTAACCTAAACCTAAGCCTAACGGCGACCTAAGCCGCGCCTAACCTAAGCCTAACGGCGCCCTATGCAGCGCCCTAAGCCTACCCCCTAAAACCTAAACTAAGGGCCGGCCCCAAAGGGGTTGCCAGCCCAACCCAGCGGGACAGGACTGAGAAGCCCCGAGTCCCAATGTTTGGGTGCATTTGGGAGTAACTGTACACTTACATTTATAGATACGCCAGGCGAGACTTTAAGTGCTCCTTTTCGGTGTGGGAAAAAATAAGCTAAGGAAAGCTTCGCTTCTGTATGTGTCCAGACGGACAGTCACCGACTCACCGGAGACAACAATTAAGCTCATCACCGGCCGGCCCTGCACCTGTCCCTCGACCTTCGCCATTCCTTTCCCTCCAAAACACCATTTTGCTCAGCAACCATCCCGGCGGCCTCCTCCCCACTCCGTCCGAGCAGCGAGGACCTCAGCTTATTGCTTTCTGCACTCCGTCCCAGTAGCGACTCCTCCCTCCGGGCGCCACCCACTGTGAGTAATTTACCTTGTTTTGGATCAAGGTAGGGAAGAAGCGGGTTGAAAGGCCACCATTAACTAAAGAATTGGGGAGGGGGAGCTTACCAGTGAAGTGATTGCTCTGTACGATGCTTGTTGGGAGTAAGGGTCCTCTTGGATTAATTTATATGATTAGAAATAAAAACATCCCAAAAGTTGTAGTTATTTATGGAAATACCAAGAAGCAGAAAAAACTTAGATGTGGGTTCGGGTTTTTTCGGTTCGGTCTTGACCTAAAATCAAATACGGAATCAAAGTACAATTTCGGTTCGGTTTCGGTTCGATTTTACACTCCAAAACTTCAAACCACGGTTTGATTGGTTCGGTTTATTTCGGTTCGGTTTCGATTTTTTTGGTTTTTTACTAAATATTTGTCATTTAATTTAAAATTGATATAAAAGTTGCAGGGATCAAATATATTACATAAAAATGCAAGCATACTTGAACAAATAAAGAAAATAATAATAAACAAATATGTCTTCAATTATACGAGTATGCGGGAGAGATAAAAGTGTGTATCTATTCTTAAATTACAATGTTTGTGACTAGAGGAACGAATATTGGAATTGAAAATGTTGTGTGTAAAGAAGTGTTCATAAAATTTAGCATGGAACGTAACCATTAGTAAATCATATTGAACATGTTTCATTTTACTGCAAATTTTAATATTGTTCAGAGTATAATTTAAATGATTCAATTAAAATTACAAGTTTGTATAATTATGCACACATTTTAAATAAAAAATTGATCGACCGTGCATCGCACGGGTGTTCTACTAGTTCATTTTTAGGGAAAGAAATATGTGGTCTGCACCATTTTACTTTCCTTATACTCAAAGTACAACCCGCACATTCTACCTTTTCAAGTTATTTTTCAACCAAAAAACTTAATACTCGTGCCAAACTAAAGTAGGACACATATAATAGAACATAGACAGTAGATTTTTAGATACGTATAATATTTTTTTATACTATGAGGTAGTATATTATGGAGATGCATGTCGTAAATTAAATTCGAATTATTTTATCATAAATATATTTTGAAATAAACTTGAAAAACTTATTTAAATTAATTACACAATGTATAATTATTTATCACTATGAATTACATCGAAGCACCAAAAGTAAGTCACAAAAAGAATTGGTTTGAATCAATCTTCATATTCAAAGTTATATAAATATAAGGATGTATTTAGTAAAATAGCTTCTGGTTTAAAAAAATTGGATTTCTCACGATCTCCTCAGAATTCAACATTTACGGATTTCTCCCACCTTTTCCCGCAGCGATAATGCTCTCAACTCCCGATGTTTTACATATGCGTCTATTCGAAATCCAAAAGTTTACTTTCTGAAAAATCTATCGCTCTACATTTCTTCTGAATCAAGCAAGTTCGACGAAGTTTTTTTTTTGAAACAAATCTCTGCAAAGAAGACAAGAGATTAAGTAAAGGATTTCACCGGAGCAACTTGCGGATCAAGTTCACCAGAAAGTATAACCAAAATGGTTAAGGTTAAGGAAAAAACGGCTGTCAGGTATAAACTATAACATAGAATCAAATATTACTCAATGCGATTGCTTTGCTGTTATGAAAACATGTGTATTATGCCATGAATTGTGTTGTTTACATGTAAAATACAAGCAAAGTAATTTTTGGTTCATCATCTGCATCTGGCTGTATTTAAAATGTCAAAATCCCTGATGTTTACTTAAGTTAACAAGTATATACAATCTATAAGGTATTATTTCATTGAAAATGTTGTCCAGAGAACATTCTTCGAAGTGTTTGTGCATGGTGTAACTTCATTGGGTTATTATGTAACTTCTGTATGATAATATGTAACATTGCTAGATGACAAAATACATGTTCAGTTCTCTAAGCATTATCTACACTCTGTCACTTGCTATCTATCTGCAAGTATTAGAGCCATATTTGATTATTGAACAACTTGTGTAACTTATGTAAGTACAGATAGAATTTATGTAACATAAGTATATTAATATGTAACTTATGTCAATTCAAAGTTACATGTAACTTTGGGATATAATTATGTAACCAATGACTGCAACTATACAGCCCAGAAATAATTATATAATAGCTCACGTGTAACATGTAACTACAGTAAAAATAGATGTAACATACGTATATTAATATGCAACTGTTGTGAGGACTTGTGTAACTTTTGATATATAGAACTGAATCACATCCAAGGGCATAACATGTAACTTTGAGTTATAAATTATGTAACAAATGTATAATATTATGTAAATGCTCCTATGAATTATATAAATTCATAATGTTAGCTTAAATTAATAATGTCTCGTGAATGTTATTCTGTATAATATTAGGAATACAAGAAGCAATCCAACGGCAGAGAATGAGAATCTTAATCTAGAAGATTATGAACCAATACAGAGTCAACAACCATTTTAAGTTGTCAACAACTTTTTTTAAGCTAGCAGCTGAAAAGCGCTTTTTTAAGTTGTCACAAACACTCACTTAGTCTCGTACAATACTGAAACATCAACCAAAACATTAGAACCGAACATTTGGGCCGGCTCCAGTTTGTGAACTAGGTTTGGGCAATGGAAAGGATGGCCAGTGACTTTTTTTTTTATTGGGAAAACTACACCAATGGACCTAAAAGTGAAAATAATATCACTTTTTTCATTTTTTAAAATTTCTTTCAAAATTAGGCTCATAACTTTTTTGTTTCACAAATAGACTTATCAATACAAGATCCACTCACTGGAGTATACTCCGTATAATGCAAAGAATCGTGCGTAAGGATCCATCTCTACTGCTACGTGTGCTCTATGCCCACTATTGACAAACTACGTACAAGCTCAATATTTATTTAATTTATGTTTTTGAATAATCATGTAAAAAATTATGAAAATGCAAAAAATATTTAATAAAAAAAAGTAATAAGAGTAATAAACATAAAATATAAAAATTATAAAAAAGTATCCAGGTTAAGAAAAAACAAGAAGGCATAATAACAAATACAAAGTCTAAACTTCTAACTAAGTCTAAATAATGTAAAAAATATTTAAATTTAAACAAATAGTCAGAAAAATGTTAAAATAATTATTGAAAACTTATAAATACAGAAATAAAAATAAAAATGAAACACGCTTTAAAGTAGTTTTAAATATTAAAAAGAGTTCGTATATCGCATATAAACTGAGATTTTAATGAAATTACAACAAAAAAAGGAAAAATATAGAAATATAAATATTAAAACGTAAGAAATGGAAACATTTCTCAAAATTTAAAAAATGTAAATTCTTCTTTAGAAAAATTAAAATTAAAAATATAAAACTATAAAATAATAAAGTATATCTACAATTCATAAATGAAAAATATATCAATTAAAGCAAGAAAAAAAATCCTATAAATTTTCATAAATACACAAAAAAAATTAAAAAGTTTAAGGTAATGTCCAAAAATAATAAATGTACGTCTTCTAAAATAAAAATGTGAAAATTAAGATGAATAACATACTAAAAATTTGTAAAAACTGATAAAATATTAAAGAGTATGATTCTGTGATTTGAAATTGTTCTAAAAGGCTCTCAAGTAAATTTTTGAGATATTATAACATTCAAAAAAATCAACATAAAGTTTAAAAAAATTAGAATTAAAAAACAGTAAAGTAAAGAAAATTAACAAGTGTGTATATTTTAAAATTTTAAAATAGAAAGTGAAAAAATAAAATAAAGAAAATGAACTTATAAATTAAAAAACTTATACTAAAATTATGATATACAAATACATGTTAGATATTATTATGATCGTCATCATTTAGTTGTTCCTTTTGTTGCATATTATTTCTTTGTGTTTGTTTTTGTTTTTTCTACATGTTTCTTTATGTTTATTCTTAAATCCAGACTTATCTTTTTAGGTATTTGTATATACACACACTCACACACACACAAACACACACACACATATACTCCGTAGTTTTTATTCCAATTAAGTAAAAAATATAAATGTAAATTTAATTAGACAAAAAATCAAAATCAATAATAAAAACAATGAGCAACATGATTCAACAAAAAATAACATATTGCAACAAAAAGCAACAAGTGCAAGGCAACAAAGAGAAACAAAAACAACATATAAAAATATCAGAACATATATGTAATTGAATCTCTTATTACAGTTTAATTATTACATTTAGATATTACATATATTGTATATGTTCTTCTTGTTCCTTTTATATTGCGCCATAACACACAATTTAGAAAGTGTGTCTCTTTTGTCTACACTTTCTTTATCAATATTCTCAGCCTTGTATCATCATCTACTTCTTTTCTATCATGTGCCTACAACGGAAATGCAATCATTATGACACAAAATCCAAAAAAAAAAATATTACAATGAACCAATACACCTATATAAGTGATACTATTACATATATATATATGCATATCAAAAGGATTTCATTTATGATAAATAATGCAAACCACTGAAAGAAGTTGCTATTCGAACAAGTTTATACAAATAAAATATCAAGTTTTCTAGTGAGTCTATTCATAGGTCTTATACCTGCAAATAAAATATCAAGTTTTCTACTGATTCTATTCATAATAAATAATGCAAAGACATATGAACTTTATATTGACCAGAAAATGTGTGCAAATAAAATATCAATTTTTCTATTGATTCTGTTCATAGGTCTTATGCATAGAACATATGCAGTTATTAGTTATGACATCGCATGCAGAAAGAAGTTGCTATTCAAACAAGTTTATACAAGTGCAACTAATGAATCTTTGTTACATTTATTTACCTAACACCAAAGCACCTATGCATACCAAGTGTATTGAATTGTCACCGTGATACCCAAGACGTGCCAGGTAGACTTGAAAAGTTCGAGATTCTCTTCAACTTCCTATAAATAAAAACATAAGAAAAAACAACAATAACGATAAAAAAAATGTGCATTCTTATAGCATCCCACACACTTGGAAAAGCAATATACTTTATAACTGGAAGAGATGTGACAAAGTTAACACATCAACGATCTGAAATGGGAAACAATTGACTTGTAAATAAATGAAGTTGGATATTTGAGTACTGTTATAACAGATTTCAAATTTTAGGCAATGTGTCTTCTTTCATAGACTACCAGTATAAGATCTGTTCACTTTTAGATGTTATCTTATTCTATTAATTTAAGTATTTTCTCTCTTTAATTGCAGTCCTTTCTAACTAGTTACCAAATAAATAGCATCTATCTAAAATGGAATGCTTTAATTCATGCATGTATTGTCGTAGCATTACTATGATCATTGGACTTCGCCTATGCTAGCTTTACATTACTGTGATCAGTGGACACTAAATGAGCAAGTTATTGTCCAGTTTCTTTTCAAATATCATGCTAAAAAGTTCCTATTTCTCAAACTATTTCCCTTTTGACCCACACAGCTCCATTTAACATAATCAAGCATCTGCAGACAAAGAGGAAGTCAAATACCAGATATGGATTCGGGTCAATTATCTCTTTACTGAGATTATGAAACTCATCACAGTAGAACTCTATTGCACACTGAGTGCAGCCTGCAACTTAGTCTTTGCTATATCCCCATTATTACATTAGTCTAGATTCTCTCCAGAAAAATCAACTCTAACATCGTGTGTTGTGTGCATCACACACCTCTTGAAGCAATGTGGCCCCTCACGGACATAGAGAATAATATTCCTCGAAGGCCGAAGGGGATAATGCAAACCCTATCAGTTTCACTATCTAAATTCTCGTTAATCATAATCAGAAATAAAGTTTACCTAGATGAATTAGAACAAAGATTATAGTGAAAATAAACTGTTGAAAATCTCAAACGCGTACCTCCAAACCAGAAACCAGCAGGGTCGGGCTGCGATTCAAGTATTGAACTAGCAGCAGAGTAGCCAAGCGAACAGGGGCGGAGGATGGACGGTTGAGCATGGAGCCGCAGAGAAGGAGGCGGAGGGGAGAGGGTTGAGCTCCGGATGTCGGAGGTGCAGTCGGTGCAAGGCGGGAGGGGAACAACCGCACACATCTAGGTTCTTCGGTTCGACATTCGTGAGCAAGGGACGAACAAGGTCTCAGGCGCTCGCAAACGATGATCTCAAGGTTTGGATTTTGATTTAAAATTGAGGTTATTTTTGAATTATGAGAATTAGAATTGAAAAGGTCAAAGTTTTAAATGAAAAGTAAAATATTAAGAGACATAAATGAAATGCTAACCCACAAACAAGACCATATGGGTAATTACCACTTTTTTATTATGTGGTTATTGCCTTAGCCCCCCCCCCCCCCCCCTCCCCCCTCCAATTTCATCATTGATTTCTTTACTAAACATAATTTCAATTAAATTACTCATCTATTTGTCTAGTTTTTTAACCATAATGAGATTCCCCATTTCATCTCTTTACATTTTAATATCACAAAACATTTTCATCTTCATATACTAAAATATTAATGTTTGTTATTATATCTAGCTAGTAATTATCGGGTTCATTTATTTTAATCATATAAAATGTTTACACAATGTGAATGGTCAACTCAATGAATTTCATAAGATAAAGTATTTTTATGTAACTATTTTAATGCCCTTCTAATTCTACTCGCATAGTTGAAACTCGTCATGCTGAATTCCTTGAAAACTCTAATGTTAGTGGGAGCAAAACACACCCTGTTGTCAATTTACAAGAAGTGCAAGAGGATGGGCCCATGACCCAATTACCTCTTTATCCTATTGTACCTATTGTAAATGAAATTTGCCCACCTAGTACATCTCCCGAGGAAAATGTTGCTCCAAATATACCATTAGATGAAGGTATACCGAATTTAGAGGAGCAAATCCCTGAAGTTACCATTGAACCTCAAGAACCCGAAAATTCATTAAGAAGGTCATCGAGGTCTAGAAGGCCTACTAACTTTGATGATTACATAACATGTCTTAATCAAGTTGAATTGGATATAGGGAAGAATAATGATCCTATCTCTTATAGTGAAGCCATTAATAGTGACCAATCCGCTCAATGGAATGAGGCATTGATTGATGAGCTTGATTCATAACTTCCGACCACTTATGTATATAGACGTTCTATTTTCCCCATTAAGTCTCAATTACTTGAACAGTTGAGGAACAGAAGATGCAAAATAAAGTAGGGGCTCATGAAGGATTCCCCATCAGATTCAAAAAATGATCTTTTCAAAAAATGCCCTAAACCAACCTAACTCACTGCACCCTTCCGTTCCCTGCCAAGTACTCACAAGACAATAACACAGTTTCAACTTTCTCATCAATCGGACTGACAGTACACACGTCTTTATTTAATATTATATCTACCTTGTTTACACAATTCCTTATTTGAAGAGTGTACTAGTATTAGTGATTTAGTTACCCAGGCTCAAATAAAGTAGGAGCTCATGAAGGATTTCGTTTGTTAATATCCTAATTTACCCTTCCTTTAGCAATTAATTTTAATGGAGATTGTGTTCTAAAAATGTTTTTTGTTCTTTGATAATTGGCACCATTTCTTTCTCTTCTTTTCCTTACTTTTGGTATAAACAATATTCACAGTCTATTCTATTTGTCACTGCTTTCTCTCCTCTCACCTTTTTCTCCATTTTGACTTTCACTCTTATACTCTGTTTGGATGAAGATAGGAAAGAAAGAAGTAGGGGTTAAGAGATAGTAAGTACATGTTTTAATTGTTTGGATTGAGAGAAGTAGAAGACATTATATTACTATCAATAATGACATGTTTATATAGTAAAAACAAAGGGTGGATATGTCTATTTCAGTGAGTCCAAATTGTTTTGCTCTGTTTTTCTTGTCAAGTCTCGTCCTAAGTAGCACAGAAACGGGAATGCTTTTTTTCACAACAATGTTTTTTTAAACGTATCATCCAAATTGTCTTGAAGAGATCATTTGAGAAGAGATTTTTTAAACGTATCATCCTGACATTGTTTTTTCATTTCGTCCCACTTTTCTAACCAAACAAGGACAAAAAACACATCATTTTCTCCAACTTTCAACTCAGAATCTATCAAAACAAATTTTGTGTTAAACCAAACAATGTTTAAGTGATAAATATACACATAAGATAAATACAGAGACCGTTACATTTTAGACACAAATAACACCATGCTTGATTCAGAATACAATAAAAAATGAAGAGGGGATCAAGATGAATGACTGACCTGCAATAAGCAGGGCTGCATGCCAAGGAGATTAATGAACCCTCAATTTACCAACTGCAGGCACTCCTTCTGGTTTCTCAAAAGCTATAACTATAAATGTGGGGTAGCAGCCACTTCAGAAAATTCCTCAGCTTCAGCATTAATAATAATCAACGCCCTAAGGCCCTAACCTAAACCTAAGCCTAACGCCGCCCTAAGCAGTGCCCTAACCTAAACCTAAGCCTAACAGCGCCCTAAGCAGCGCCCTAAGCGGCGCCCTAACCTAAACCTAAGCCTAACAGCGCCCTAAGCGGCGCCCTAACCTAAACCTAAGCCTAACAGCGCCCTAAGCGGCGCCCTAACCTAAGCCTAAGCCTAACAACGCACTATTACTTCATAAAACCGGCGCAATTGCTCGCAATCGACCGCAATAAAGATGATGGCAGCCAATTTCATTCCGGAACTTCAACTTAACAGGGATGCAGTGCAATGCACATACAACGGTCGCAAATTTATTACTCACTTGAAATCGAGAATGCATATGCAGGAGCAAGTGTTATTGGCCTCGCAAGAATCAAAAGCAAGTGTTATATAGCACTTGTTGTAGGTTTGAAATTGTGATTGGTTCTTTTCTTAAGTTTTTTTATTTAACTTCCGACCACTTATGTATATAGACGTTCTATTTTCCCCATTAAGTCTCAATTACTTGAACAGTTGAGGAACAGAAGATGCAAAATAAAGTAGGGGCTCATGAAGGATTCCCCATCAGATTCAAAAAATGATCTTTTCAAAAAATGCCCTAAACCAACCTAACTCACTGCACCCTTCCGTTCCCTGCCAAGTACTCACAAGACAATAACACAGTTTCAGCTTTCTCATCAATCGGACTGACAGTACACATGTCTTTATTTAATATTATATCTACCTTGTTTACACAATTCCTTATTTGAAGAGTGTACTAGTATTAGTGATTTAGTTACCCAAGCTCAAATAAAGTAGGAGCTCATGAAGGATTTCGTTTGTAATTATCCTAATTTACCCATCCTTTAGCAATTAATTTCAATGGAGATTGTGTTCTAAAAATGTTTTTTGTTCTTTGATAATTGGCACCATTTCTTTCTCTTCTTTTCCTTACTTTTGGTATAAACAATATTCACAGTCTATTCTATTTGTCACTGCTTTCTCTCCTCTCACCTTTTTCTCCATTTTGACTTTCACTCTTATACTCTGTTTGGATGAAGATAGGAAAGAAAGAAGTAGGGGTTAAGAGATAGTAAGTACATGTTTTAATTGTTTGGATTGAGAGAAGTAGAAGACATTATATTACTATCAATAATGACATGTTTATATAGTAAAAACAAAGCGTAGATATGTCTATTTCAGTGAGTCTAAATTGTTTTGCTCTGTTTTTCTTGTCAAGTCTCGTCCTAAGTAGCACCAGAAACGGGAATGCTTTTTTTCACAACAATGTTTTTTTAAACGTATCATCCAAATTGTCTTGAAGAGATCATTTGAGATGAGATTTTTTAAATGTATCATCCTGACAATGTTTTTTCATTTCGTCCCACTTTTCTAACCAAACAAGGACAAAAATACATCATTTTCTCCAACTTTCAACTCAGAATCTATCAAAACAAATTTTTTGTTAAAACAAATAATGTTTAAGTGATAAATATACACATAAGATAAATACAGAGACCGTTACATTTTAGACACAAATAACACCATGCTTGATTCAGAATACAATAAAGAATGAAGAGGGGATCAAGATGAATGACTGACCTGCAATAAGCAGGGCTGCATGCCAAGGAGATTAATGAACCCTCAATTTACCAACAGCAGGCACTCCTTCTGGTTTCTCAAAAGCTATAACTATAAATGTGGGGTAGCAGCCACTTCAGAAAATTCCTCAGCTTCAGCATTAATAATAATCAACGCCCTAAGGCCCTAACCTAAACCTAAGCCTAACGCCGCCCTAAGCAGCGCCCTAACCTACACCTAAGCCTAACAGCGCCCTAAGTGGCGCCCTAACCTAAACCTAAGCCTAACAGCGCCCTAAGCGGCGCCCTAACCTAAACCTAAGCCTAACAGCGCCCTAAGTAGGAGCTCATGAAGGATTTCGTTTGTTAATATACTAATTTACCTTTCCTTTAGCAATTAATTTCAATGGAGATTGTGTTCTAAAAATGTTTTTTGTTCTATGATAATTGGCACCATTTCTTTCTTTTCTTTTCCTTACTTTTGGTATAAACAATATTCACAGTCTATTCTATTTGACACTGCTTTCTCTCCTCTCACCTTTTTCTCCATTTTGACTTTCACTCTTATACTCTGTTTGGATGAAGATAGGAAAGAAAGAAGTAGGGGTTAAGAGATAGTAAGTACATGTTGTAATTGTTTGGATTGAGAGAAGTAGAAGACATTATATTACTATCAATAATGACATGTTTATATAGTAAAAACAAAGGGTGGATATGTCTATTTCAGTGAGTCCAAATTGTTTTGCTCTGTTTTTCTTGTCAAGTCTCGTCCTAAGTAGCACAGAAACGGGAATGCTTTTTTCACAACAATGTTTTTTTAAACGTATCATCCAAATTGTCTTGAAGAGATCATTTGAGAAGAGATTTTTTAAACGTATCATCCTGACAATGTTTTTTCATTTCGTCCCACTTTTCTAACCAAACAAGGACAAAAAACACATCATTTTCTCCAACTTTCAACTCAGAATCTATCAAAACAAATTTTGTGTTAAACCAAACAATGTTTAAGTGATAAATATACACATAAGATAAATACAGAGACCGTTACATTTTAGACACAAATAACACCATGCTTGATTCAGAATACAATAAAAAATGAAGAGGGGATCAAGATGAATGACTGACCTGCAATAAGCAGGGCTGCATGCCAAGGAGATTAATGAACCCTCAATTTACCAACTGCAGGAACTCCTTCTGGTTTCTCAAAAGCTATAACTATAAATGTGGGGTAGCAGCCACTTCAGAAAATTCCTCAGCTTCAGCATTAATAATAATCAATGCCCTAAGGCCCTAACCTAAACCTAAGCCTAACGCCGCCCTAACCTAAACCTAAGCCTAACAGCGCCCTAAGCGGCGCCCTAACCTAAACCTAAGCCTAACAGCGCCCTAAGCGGCGCCCTAACCTAAACCCTAAGCCAAACAGCGCCCTAACCTAAACCTAAGCCTAACAGCGCACTATTACTTCATAACAACGGCGCAATTGCTCGCAATCGACCGCAATAAAGATGATGGCAGCCAATTTCATTCCGGAACTTCAACTTAACAGGGATGCAGTGCAATGCACATACAACGGTCGCAAATTTATTACTCACTTGAAATCGAGAATGCATATGCAGGAGCAAGTGTTATTGGCCTCGCAAGAATCAAAAGCAAGTGTTATATAGCACTTGTTGAAGGTTTGAAATTGTGATTGGTTCTTTTCTTAAGTTTTTTTATTTAACTTCCGACCACTTATGTATATAGACGTTCTATTTTCCCCATTAAGTCTCAATTACTTGAACAGTTGAGGAACAGAAGATGCAAAATAAAGTAGGGGCTCATGAAGGATTCCCCATCAGATTCAAAAAATGATCTTTTCAAAAAATGCCCTAAACCAACCTAACTCACTGCACCCTTCCGTTCCCTGCCAAGTACTCACAAGACAATAACACAGTTTCAACTTTCTCATCAATCGGACTGACAGTACACACGTCTTTATTTAATATTATATCTACCTCGTTTACACAATTCCTTATTTGAAGAGTGTACTAGTATTAGTGATTTAGTTACCCAGGCTCAAATAAAGTAGGAGCTCATGAAGGATTTCGTTTGTTAATATCCTAATTTACCCTTCCTTTAGCAATTAATTTTAATGGAGATTGTGTTCTAAAAATGTTTTTTGTTCTTTGATAATTGGCACCATTTCTTTCTCTTCTTTTCCTTACTTTTGGTATAAACAATATTCACAGTCTATTCTATTTGTCACTGCTTTCTCTCCTCTCACCTTTTTCTCCATTTTGACTTTCACTCTTATACTCTGTTTGGATGAAGATAGGAAAGAAAGAAGTAGGGGTTAAGAGATAGTAAGTACATGTTTTAATTGTTTGGATTGAGAGAAGTAGAAGACATTATATTACTATCAATAATGACATGTTTATATAGTAAAAACAAAGGGTGGATATGTCTATTTCAGTGAGTCCAAATTGTTTTGCTCTGTTTTTCTTGTCAAGTCTCGTCCTAAGTAGCACAGAAACGGGAATGCTTTTTTTCACAACAATGTTTTTTTAAACGTATCATCCAAATTGTCTTGAAGAGATCATTTGAGAAGAGATTTTTTAAACGTATCATCCTGACAATGTTTTTTCATTTCGTCCCACTTTTCTAACCAAACAAGGACAAAAAACACATCATTTTCTCCAACTTTCAACTCAGAATCTATCAAAACAAATTTTGTGTTAAACCAAACAATGTTTAAGTGATAAATATACACATAAGATAAATACAGAGACCGTTACATTTTAGACACAAATAACACCATGCTTGATTCAGAATACAATAAAAAATGAAGAGGGGATCAAGATGAATGACTGACCTGCAATAAGCAGGGCTGCATGCCAAGGAGATTAATGAACCCTCAATTTACCAACTGCAGGCACTCCTTCTGGTTTCTCAAAAGCTATAACTATAAATGTGGGGTAGCAGCCACTTCAGAAAATTCCTCAGCTTCAGCATTAATAATAATCAACGCCCTAAGGCCCTAACCTAAACCTAAGCCTAACGCCGCCCTAAGCAGCGCCCTAACCTAAACCTAAGCCTAACAGCGCCCTAAGCAGCGCCCTAAGCGGCGCCCTAACCTAAACCTAAGCCTAACAGCGCCCTAAGCGGCGCCCTAACCTAAGCCTAAGCGTAACAGCGCACTATTACTTCATAAAACCGGCGCAATTGCTCGCAATCGACCGCAATAAAGATGATGGCAGCCAATTTCATTCCGGAACTTCAACTTAACAGGGATGCAGTGCAATGCACATACAACGGTCGCAAATTTATTACTCACTTGAAATCGAGAATGCATATGCAGGAGCAAGTGTTATTGGCCTCGCAAGAATCAAAAGCAAGTGTTATATAGCACTTGTTGTAGGTTTGAAATTGTGATTGGTTCTTTTCTTAAGTTTTTTTATTTAACTTCCGACCACTTATGTATATAGACGTTCTATTTTCCCCATTAAGTCTCAATTACTTGAACAGTTGAGGAACAGAAGATGCAAAATAAAGTAGGGGCTCATGAAGGATTCCCCATCAGATTCAAAAAATGATCTTTTCAAAAAATGCCCTAAACCAACCTAACTCACTGCACCCTTCCGTTCCCTGCCAAGTACTCACAAGACAATAACACAGTTTCAGCTTTCTCATCAATCGGACTGACAGTACACATGTCTTTATTTAATATTATATCTACCTGGTTTACACAATTCCTTATTTGAAGAGTGTACTAGTATTAGTGATTTAGTTACCCAGGCTCAAATAAAGTAGGAGCTCATGAAGGATTTCGTTTGTAATTATCCTAATTTACCCTTCCTTTAGCAATTAATTTCAATGGAGATTGAGTTCTAAAAATGTTTTTTGTTCTTTGATAATTGGCACCATTTCTTTCTCTTCTTTTCCTTACTTTTGGTATAAACAATATTCACAGTCTATTCTATTTGTCACTGCTTTCTCTCCTCTCACCTTTTTCTCCATTTTGACTTTCACTCTTATACTCTGTTTGGATGAAGATAGGAAAGAAAGAAGTAGGGGTTAAGAGATAGTAAGTACATGTTTTAATTGTTTGGATTGAGAGAAGTAGAAGACATTATATTACTATCAATAATGACATGTTTATATAGTAAAAACAAAGGGTGGATATGTCTATTTCAGTGAGTCCAAATTGTTTTGCTTCTTTTTTCTTGTCAAGTCTCGTCCTAAGTAGCACAGAAACGGGAATGCTTTTTTTCACAACAATGTTTTTTTAAACGTATCATCCAAATTGTCTTGAAGAGATCATTTGAGAAGAGATTTTTTAAACGTATCATCCTGACAATGTTTTTTCATTTCGTCCCACTTTTCTAACCAAACAAGGACAAAAAACACATCATTTTCTCCAACTTTCAACTCAGAATCTATCAAAACAAATTTTGTGTTAAACCAAACAATGTTTAAGTGATAAATATACACATAAGATAAATACAGAGACCGTTACATTTTAGACACAAATAACACCATGCTTCATTCAGAATACAATAAAAAATGAAGAGGGTATCAACATGAATGACTGACCTGCAATAAGCAGGGCTGCATGCCAAGGAGATTAATGAACCCTCAATTTACCAACTGCAGGCACTCCTTCTGGTTTCTCAAAAGCTACAACTATAAATGTGGGGTAGCAGCCACTTCAGAAAATTTCTCAGCTTCAGCATTAATAATAATCAACGCCCTAAGGCCCTAACCTAAACCTAAGCCTAACGCCGCCCTAAGCAGCGCCCTAACCTAAACCTAAGCCTAACAGCGCCCTAAGCAGTGCCCTAAGCGGCGCCCTAACCTAAACCTAAGCCTAACAGCGCCCTAAGCGGCGCCCTAACCTAAACCTAAGCCTAACAGCGCCCTGAGCGGTGCCCTAACCTAAACCTAAGCCTAACAGCGCACTATTACTTCATAAAACCGGCGCAATTGCTCGCAATCGACCGCAATAATGACATTATAATTGGATGGAGAGTATCATTTTAATTGTTTGGATTGAGAGAAGTAGAAGACATTATATTACTCTGTTTTGCTAAATGAAAAATATCATGCTTACAGAGACCGTTACATTTTAGACACAAATAACACCATGCTTAATTGTTTGGATTGAGAGAAGTAGAAGACATTATATTACTCTGTTCATTATATTACAGAGACCGTTACATTTTAGACACAAATAACACCATGCTTCATTCAGAATACAATAAAAAATGAAGAGGGTATCAAGATGAATGACTGACCTGCAATAAGCAGGGCTGCATGCCAAGGAGATTAATGAACCCTCAATTTACCAACTGGAGGCACTCCTTCTGGTTTCTCAAAAGCTATAACCATAAATGTGGGGTAGCAGCCACTTCAGAAAATTCCTCAGCTTCAGCATTAATAATAATCAACGCCCTAAGGCCCTAACCTAAACCTAAGCCTAACGCCGCCCTAAGCAGCGCCCTAACCTAAACCTAAGCCTAACAGCGCCCTAAGCAGCGCCCTAACCTAAGCCTAACAGCGCCCTAAGCGGCGCCCTAACCTAAACCTAAGCCTAACAGCGCCCTAAGCGGCGCCTAACCCAAACCTAAGCCTAACAGCGCCCTAAGCGGCGCCCTAACCTAAACCTAAGCCTAACAGCGCACTATTACTTCATAACAACGGCGCAATTGCTCGCAATCGACCGCAATAAAGATGATGGCAGCCAATTTCATTCCGGAACTTCAACTTAACAGGGATGCAGTGCAATGCACATACAACGGTCGCAAATTTATTACTCACTTGAAATCGAGAATGCATATGCAGGAGCAAGTGTTATTGGCCTCGCAAGAATCAAAAGCAAGTGTTATATAGCACTTGTTGTAGGTTTGAAATTGTGATTGGTTCTTTTCTTAAGTTTTTTTATTTAACTTCCGACCACTTATGTATATAGACGTTCTATTTTCCCCATTAAGTCTCAATTACTTGAACAGTTGAGGTACAGAAGATGCAAAATAAAGTAAGGGCTCATGAAGGATTCCCCATCAGATTCAAAAAATGATCTTTTCAAAAAATGCCCTAAACCAACCTAACTCACTGCACCCTTCCGTTCCCTGCCTAGTACTCACAAGACAATAACGCAGTTTCAGCTTTCTCATCAATCGGACTGACAGTACACACGTCTTTATTTAATATTATATCTACCTTGTTTACACAATTCCTTATTTGAAGATTGTACTAGTATTAGTGATTTAGTTACCCAGGCTCAAATAAAGTAGGAGCTCATGAAGGATTTCGTTTGTTAATATCCTAATTTACCCTTCCTTTAGCAATTAATTTCAATGGAGATTGTGTTCTAAAAATGTTTTTTGTTCTTTGATAATTGGCACCATTTCTTTCTCTTCTTTTCCTTACTTTTGGTATAAACAATATTCACAGTCTATTCTATTTGTCACTGCTTTCTCTCCTCTCACCTTTTTCTCCATTTTGACTTTCACTCTTATACTCTGTTTGGATGAAGATAGGAAAGAAAGAAGTAGGGGTTAAGAGATAGTAAGTACATGTTTTAATTGTTTGGATTGAGAGAAGTAGAAGACATTATATTACTATCAATAATGACATGTTTATATAGTAAAAACAAAGGGTGGATATGTCTATTTCAGTGAGTCCAAATTGTTTTGCTCTGTTTTTCTTGTCAAGTCTCGTCCTAAGTAGCACAGAAACGGGAATGCTTTTTTTCACAACAATGTTTTTTTAAACGTATCATCCAAATTGTCTTGAAGAGATCATTTGAGAAGAGATTTTTTAAACGTATCATCCTGACAATGTTTTTTCATTTCGTCCCACTTTTCTAACCAAACAAGGACAAAAAACACATCATTTTCTCCAACTTTCAACTCAGAATCTATCAAAACAAATTTTGTGTTAAACCAAACAATGTTTAAGTGATAAATATACACATAAGATAAATACAGAGACCGTTACATTTTAGACACAAATAACACCATGCTTGATTCAGAATACAATAAAAAATGAAGAGGGGATCAAGATGAATGACTGACCTGCAATAAGCAGGGCTGCATGCCAAGGAGATTAATGAACCCTCAATTTACCAACTGCAGGCACTCCTTCTGGTTTCTCAAAAGCTATAACTATAAATGTGGGGTAGCAGCCACTCTAGAAAATTTCTCAGCTTCAGCATAAATAATAATCAACGCCCTAAGGCCCTAACCTAAACCTAAGCCTAGCGCCGCCCTAAGCAGCGCCCTAACCTAAACCTAAGTCTAACAGCGCCCTAAGCAGCGCCCTAAGCGGCACCCTAACCTAAACCTAAGCCTAACAGCGCCCTAAGCGGCGCCCTAACCTAAACCTAAGCCTAACAGCGCCCTAAGCGGCGCCTAACCTAAACCTAAGCCTAACAGCGCCCTAAGCGGCGCCCTAACCTAAACCTAAGCCTAACAACGCACTATTACTTCATAACAACGGCGCAATTGCTCGCAATCGACCGCAATAAAGATGATGGCAGCCAATTTCATTCCGGAACTTCAACTTAACAGGGATGGAGTGCAATGCACATACAACGGTCGCAAATTTATTACTCACTTGAAATCGAGAATGCATATGCAGGAGCAAGTGTTATTGGCCTCGCAAGAATCAAAAGCAAGTGTTATATAGCACTTGTTGTAGGTTTGAAATTGTGATTGGTTCTTTTCTTAAGTTTTTTTATTTAACTTCCGACCACTTATGTATATAGACGTTCTATTTTCCCCATTAAGTCTCAATTACTTGAACAGTTGAGGAACAGAAGATGCAAAATAAAGTAGGGGCTCATGAAGGATTCCCCATCAGATTCAAAAAATGATCTTTTCAAAAAATGCCCTAAACCAACCTAACTCACTGCACCCTTCCGTTCCCTGCCAAGTACTCACAAGACAATAACACAGTTTCAGCTTTCTCATCAATCGGACTGACAGTACACACGTCTTTATTTAATATTATATCTACCTGGTTTACACAATTCCTTATTTGAAGAGTGTACTAATATTAGTGATTTAGTTACCCAGGCTCAAATAAAGTAGGAGCTCATGAAGGATTTCGTTTGTTAATATCCTAATTTACCCTTCCTTTAGCAATTAATTTCAATGGAGATTGTGTTCTAAAAATGTTTTTTGTTCTTTGATAATTGGCACCATTTCTTTCTCTTCTTTTCCTTACTTTTGGTATAAACAATATTCACAGTCTATTCTATTTGTCACTGCTTTCTCTCCTCTCACCTTTTTCTCCATTTTGAATTTCACTCTTATACTCTGTTTGGATGAAGATAGGAAAGAAAGAAGTAGGGGTTTAGAGATAGTAAGTACATGTTTTAATTGTTTGGATTGAGAGAAGTAGAAGACATTATATTACTATCAATAATGACATGTTTATATAGTAAAAACAAAGGGTGGATATGTCTATTTCAGTGAGTCCAAATTGTTTTGCTCTGTTTTTCTTGTCAAGTCTCGTCACAACAATGTTTTTTTAAACGTATCATCCAAATTGTCTTGAAGAGATCATTTGAGAAGAGATTTTTTAAACGTATCATCCTGACAATGTTTTTTCATTTCGTCCCACTTTTCTAACCAAACAAGAACAAAAAACACATCATTTTCTCCAACTTTCAACTCAGAATCTATCAAAACAAATTTTGTGTTAAACCAAACAATGTTTAGATGATAAATATACACATAAGATAAATACAGAGTTACATTTTAGACACAAATAACACCATGCTTGATTCAGAATACAATAAAAAATGAAGGGGGATCAAGATGAATGACTGACCTGCAATAAGCAGGGCAGCATGCCAAGGAGATTAATGAACCCTCAATTTACCATAAATGTGGGGTAGCACCTCAGAAAATTCCTCAGCCCTAACCTAAACCTAACGCCGCCCTAGCAGCGCCCTAAGCAGCGCCCTAAGCAGCGCCCTAACCTAAACCTAAGCCTAAGAGCGCCCTAAGCGGTGCCCTAACCTAAACCTAAGCCTAACAGCGCCCTAACCTAAACCTAAGCCTAACAGCGCCCTAACCTAAACCTAACGGCGCCCTAACCTAAACCTAAGCCTAACGGCGCCCTAAGCGGCGCCCTAACCTAAACCTAAGCCTAACGGCGCCCTAAGCAGCGCCCAAACCTAAACCTAAGCCTAACGGCGCCCTAAGCGACGCCCTAACCTAACTCTAAGCCTAACGGCGCCCTAAGCGGCGCCCTAACCTAAACCTAAGCCTAACGGCGCCCTAAGCAGCGCCCTAACCTAAACCTAAGCCTAACGGCGCCCTTAGCAGCACCCTAAGTGCAATGAAACAAAGAGAAACAAAAACAACATTAAAAAATATCAGAACATATATGTAATTGAATCTCTTATTACAGTTTAATTATTACATTTAGATATTACATCTATTGTATATGTTCTCCTTGCTTCTTGTTCCTTTTATATTGCGCCATAACACACAATTTAGAAAGTGTGTCTCTTTTGTCTACACTTTCTTTATCAATATTCTCAGCCTTGTATCATCATCTACTTCTTTTCTATCATGTGCCTACAACGGGAATGCAATCATTATGACACAAAATCCAAAAAAAAAATATTACAATGAACCAATACACCTATATAAGTGATATTATTACATATATATATGCATATCAAAAGGATTTCATTTATGATAAATAATGCAAACCACTGAAAGAAGTTGCTATTCGAACAAGTTTATACAAATAAAATATCAAGTTTTCTAGTGAGTCTATTCATAGGTCTTATACCTACAAATAAAATATCAAGTTTTCTACTGATTCTATTCATAATAAATAATGCAAAGACATATGAACTTTATATTGACCAGAAAATGTGTGCAAATAAAATATCAATTTTTCTATTGATTCTGTTCATAGGTCTTATGCATAGAACATATGCAGTTATTAGTTATGACATCGCATGCAGAAAGAAGTTGCTATTCAAACAAGTTTATACAAGTGCAACTAATGAATCTTTGTTACATTTATTTACCTAACACCAAAGCACCTATGCATACCAAGTGTATTGAATTGTCACCGTGATACCCAAGACGTGCCAGGTAGACTTGAAAAGTTCGAGATTCTCTTCAACTTCCTATAAATAAAAACATAAGAAAAAACAACAATAACGATAAAAAAAATGTGCATTCTTATAGCATCCCACACACTTGGAAAAGCAATATACTTTATAACTGGAAGAGATGTGACAAAGTTAACACATCAACGATCTGAAATGGGAAACAACTGACTTGTAAATAAATGAAGTTGGATATTTGAGTACTGTTATAACAGATTTCAAATTTTAGGCAATGTGTCTTCTTTCATAGACTACCAGTATAAGATCTGTTCACTTTTAGATGCTATCTTATTCTATTAATTTAAGTATTTTCTCTCTTTAATTGCAGTCCTTTCTAACTAGTTACCAAATAAATAGCATCTATCTAAAATGGAATGCTTTAATTCATGCATGTATTGTCGTAGCATTACTATGATCATTGGACTTCGCCTATGCTAGCCTTACATTACTGTGATCAGTGGACACTAAATGAGCAAGTTATTGTCCAGTTTCTTTTCAAATATCATGCTAAAAAGTTCCTATTTCTCAAACTATTTCCCTTTTGACCCACACAGCTCCATTTAACATAATCAAGCATCTGCAGACAAAGAGGAAGTCAAATACCAGATATGGATTCGGGTCAATTATCTCTTTACTGAGATTATGAAACTCATCACAGTAGAACTCTATTGCACACTGAGTGCAGCCTGCAACTTAGTCTTTGCTATATCCCCATTATTACATTAGTCTAGATTCTCTCCAGAAAAATCAACTCTAACATCGTGTGTTGTGTGCATCACACACCTCTTGAAGCAATGTGGCCCCTCACGGACATAGAGAATAATATTCCTCGAAGGCCGAAGGGGATAATGCAAACCCTATCGGTTTCACTATCTAAATTCTCGTTAATCATAATCAGAAATAAAGTTTACCTAGATGAATTAGAACAAAGATTATAGTGAAAACAAACTGTTGAAAATCTCAAACGCGTACCTCCAAACCAGAAACCAGCAGGGTCGGGCTGCGATTCAAGTATTGAACTAGCAGCAGAGTAGCCAAGCGAACAGGGGCGGAGGATGGACGGTTGAGCATGGAGCCGCAGAGAAGGAGGCGGAGGGGAGAGGGTTGAGCTCCGGATGTCGGAGGTGCAGTCGGTGCAAGGCGGGAGGGGAACAACCGCACACATCTAGGTTCTTCGGTTCGACATTCGTGAGCAAGGGACGAACAAGGTCTCAGGCGCTCGCAAACGATGATCTCAAGGTTTGGATTTTGATTTAAAATTGAGGTTATTTTTGAATTATGAGAATTAGAATTGAAAAGGTCAAAGTTTTAAATGAAAAGTAAAATATTAAGAGACATAAATGAAATGCTAACCCACAAACAAGACCATATGGGTATTTACCACTTTTTTATTATGTGGTTATTGCCTTAGCCCCCCCCCCCCCCCCCCCCCCTCCCCCCTCCAATTTCATCATTGATTTCTTTACTAAACATAATTTCAATTAAATTACTCATCTATTTGTCTAGTTTTTTAACCATAATGAGATTCCCCATTTCATCTCTCTCTTTACATTTTAATATCCCAAAACATTTTCATCTTCATATACTAAAATATTAATGTTTGTTATTATATCTAGCTAGTAATTATCGGGTTCATTTATTTTAATCATATAAAATGTTTACACAATGTGAATGGTCAACTCAATGAATTTCATAAGATAAAGTATTTTTATGTAACTATTTTAATGCCCTTCTAATTCTACTCGCATAGTTGAAACTCGTCATGCCGAATTCCTTGAAAACTCTAATGTTAGTGGGAGCAAAACACACCCTGTTGTCAATTTACAAGAAGTGCAAGAGGATGGGCCCATGACCCAATTACCTCTTTATCCTATTGTACCTATTGTAAATGAAATTTTCCCACCTAGTACATCTCCCGAGGAAAATGTTGCTCCAAATATACCATTAGATGAAGGTATACCGAATTTAGAGGAGCAAATCCCTGAAGTTACCATTGAACCACAAGAACCCGAAAATTCATTAAGAAGGTCATTGAGGTCTAGAAGGCCTACTAACTTTGATGATTACATAACATGTCTTAATCAAGTTGAATTGGATATAGGGAAGAACAATGATCCTCTCTCTTAGTGAAGCCATTAATAGTGACCAATCCGCTCAATGGAATGAGGCATTGATTGATGAGCTTGATTCATGAAAAAGAATGATGTTTGGGAACTTGTTGAACTACCTAAGGGGGTAAAACTTGTAGGATGCAAGTGGGTTTATAAAACCAAGTTAGACCCAAATGGAAACATCGAACGATATAAAGCACGTTTGGTTGCTAAAGGCTACACTCAAAAGGAGGGAATTGATTATCAAGAGACTTTCTCTCCTATCTCCCGAAAAGATTCCTTACGCATCGTTATGGCCTTAGTGGCACATTTTGATTTAGAGTTACATCAAATGGATGTTAAAACGGCTTTCCTTAATGGTGATTTACATGAAAATGTGTTCATGACTCAACCTGAAGGTTTTAAACCCAAAGGTGCAAGAACACCTAGTATGTAAATTGAAGAAATCCATATATGGGTTAAAACAAGCATCAAGGCAATGGTACTTGAAATTTGATGAAGTCATTAAAAGGAACGGTTTCAGTAAGAATCAGGTGGATCAATGTACCTACCTTAAAGTGAGTGGGAGCAATTTTGCCATACTTGTCCTTTACGTAGATGATATTCTTTTGGCAAGTAATAGTTTGAATTTGTTGCATGTAACTAAGCGATTACTTTCACTCCATTTTTATATGAAAGATCTCGGTGAAGCCTCTTAATTGGCATTGAAATACATAGAGATCGATCCAATGGAGTGTTAGGACTATCTCAAAGAGCTTACATCGAACGTATTCTTTCACGCTATAACATGCAACATTGCTCTCCCTCAGTTGCTCCTGTAGTTAAAGGAGATGTTTTCGGTTCATTTCAATGCTCGAAAACGGAGGTAGAAAAGGAACAAATGAGATTGATACCTTATGCTTCTGTAGTAGGAAGCCTCATGTATGCTCAAGTTTGTTTTTCTTACAAATTATGAAATGAAAAAATTCACATTTCAATGTTAATAACTACGTACTCGTCCTTCGTCACTTAAAACTTTGGCAACATTCTTTTTTGGGTTATCTCACTAACTTTGCATGACACTTTGCCTTTTTAGTAAAGATTTTATGGCTCCACATAATTTTCTCTCCTCTGCACAAACATCAACCACACAGTTTCTACATTATTATTTTTTTTTACATTTTTCGGTTAATAGAGAATAAAATGGGTTCAAGTAAAATTCAGTTATTATATTTGTGTAGGCAATGTGGATTAAAAAATTGTGTTTCGTGTTTTTAGCCTAAACTTCCAACAATTGGAATTTCAATTATTTTTAAATTTTACATGTGCAATATTGATGTGATAATGTTATATATATGAAAGATCATGAAAACCTATGAATTGTGATGTACAAATGGAGTACAAATAAAAAAAATGGCTAAAGAGTCAAATAGGCCATCGAACTAATTTAAAAAGTGCAAATCACCCATTATATAGGAGGCTCTGTCCGGCCGTCGCCATTTCGAGCGGTTCTCGGTGGAATTGTTTGATGAAATTTGTTTAGCGTCTTCTTTATTAAGTCTAGTTTACCCATACCAAATTTCAGATAAAAATTCAACTGGGAAGACAATCAAATGATTTTCTGAAATGTACTGCACTGTTTAACTGTGCAATTATCTTCAAATTTCATTGCAAAATATCGAATTTCGTTGCAAATCTTGATTTGCAACGGAAAATGCAACAAACGCAATCTCGTTGTCCTTTCAATTTTTTGCAACAATTACAACCATTGCAATGTTATGCAGTGAAATTTGCAACACATCACTTTTCATTGCACTATTTGCAATGGGTTTAATATGTTTGCATTTTCTGTAGCAAAAACTGCAACGAAAATTTCCTATTGCAACAAATGCAATGAAACTTAAGTTGCCAATGTCACAAAGTCATTGCAACTTTTGCAACGTTAGTTAACATTATTGCAAATGACGTTGTAATATTGCAAGAGAACTAACCATGATTACGTTTGAATTTTGTTGCAAATGTCATTGCAAGTTACACGCCATATATTGAAACAAACTTTTTTATAATTGCAAATGATGTTGCAATTTTCCTACTAAATAAAAGTGTGATTACTATTACAATTCATTGCCACTGTCATTGCAAAATTGCAACTGCGTATCGTCCATTGCAAAAAATATTGCAATAATGCATCATCAAACGAATACTTCTTCGGTCCCTTATAACTAGGAGTGGACTCGGGCCGGGCCAACCGGCCCGGAACTGGACCGGCCCGCTACTGTGCGGGCCCGGACCGGCCCAGTTTGGCGGTTGGATCACGGTTCGGGCCACCCGGCTCGGTCACCCAGCGGTTCGGTCCCGGGCCTAGATTTTAGGGAACCGGCCCGGCACGATGAACGGGATATGAAAATGTACGATGTTATATTTTTTATGAAAGTACGGATAACATCATCAGTCTTTTGTTGCTTTTGTTCTATTTGTTGTTGATTTGATCCTGCAAAGCACGGATAACATCATCAGTCTTTTGTTGCTTTTGTTCTGTTTGTTGCTGATATTCCCTTTGTTTGTTCTACAATTTCTTGCAACCTTTTAACTCAGCTTATAAATGATCTTTATCAACGCGCTTACTTTGTTGTGATGAAGTGCATGCTTTTGAAGAGCGTTCTGATGCATGATTATGAACAAAATGTTCTCTGAATGAGCCAAGTCCATAAAGTCTGATGTTGCCATCTTCTCCACCAACAATATTATAAAACAATTCTTCATCATCAACCTCTTCTCCGATATCAATTAACTCCTCACGAGCATCACAATTTCTTCCTACAATTTTGTATAAATTAATTATAAGAGCACATTTTTACAAATAAAGTTTAAAAAATACTTACATTTAGCTCTTTATCTTGGTCATATACGAAAGTCACTCCGTCATTATTCTTTGTATGCGTGTGTACAAAAAACCTGATAAGTTGTCACCTTGGTTTGAGAACTTTTCTCCTATACAATAATGACCACGGTGACATATATGATGTTAGATACTAATTATATCAATAATGCTTAAACATGCTGCAAAACTATTATCACCCTTAGAAGCTTGAAAAAAAATTGAATCATAATATGAACTTACAATTTCATTAGCAACCGTAGCATGAGATGTTGCTCCACTCGTATGGGTAGAGTGAGCTGGTTTGAACAGTCCAATGGTACGATGATCTTATCAGGAAGAGCATCCTAAAGATGTACAGCAGCAAAGTGCTATTTGCAATTGAACTATGGACTAAACTTCCTATATTTCCAGTTCCTTAAATGAGGGTGTTCATGGTTCACCCTTTGGGAAGGTGATACGCTTTTTGTAAAGGAGGTTATAGTAAGCCTTTTATCTCTAGAAAATACGAAGAACCATTAATTTTTTGGTTGGTGGCATACATAACCAGTTTTGATTATATCTCGGTTCAATCTTTCAAGTGCACTTAAACTGGGGTGAGAGTGTTGTGCAATGAACTAGCTGTAGTTTTAGTCTGGTTCTTTGGTGTGAATGTTGCAAGTGCATCATTGGGTTGAGACCCAAATTGGTGTCTTTTGAATATTGGATTCTGTTAGAATAGATAAGCTTGCGATTGATCCAGGTTCAAAAAAAAACATTAAAATAGATATGCGTTGTCTTTTGCCAACTCTAAGCAAATGTCTTCTGGAGCCCTATTATTAGCCAACTACTTCCGCCAAGCCTTATTATTTAAGAATGGAACATTGATGAAACATGCAAGTTTCTATTACAAAACCAGACCATTCTTTTTAAGAACCGACATATATAAAGGAAAATCATGGCTTATCTGGTTTACATAGCATAAACAACAAAAGAGCACCAGATATATGTATATGTATATATGTATATATATATATATATATATATTGATTTACAGTGCAACAAAAGATCATAATTTTACCTAATCCAAATCATTCCTAAATTTGTTTTGTGTTGCATAGACTCATAGTGGGGGAGAATCTTCAAGTAAATCCTCAAGCAAGACTGGAAAATCCCGACCCAATGGAGCAGGAAGGAAAGTTCACTCGATTAACAGAGATTGAGAGGGACAACTCCTTCTACGTTAAAATCAGAGCCCGGCTCCAACGACAACTACGTTACATTAAGTTGGATTGTACCAGATCATACTTTATTCCTACAATTTAAGTGCTGATAACAATGGGACAGTTCTGAAACCAAATTCAAACATATAGCCGATAATAGTTTAACTCAAACATATAAGAAAGCTTACCTGATCATCGCCTAAT